ATTTTAGTTTAGATAAATATCTCTTGAAGGATGGATTATCAGCTGACCTGCTGGGCAAACACACTTTATTTGTTTGTCTCCATCCTCACACAACACTTCTGACACAGATGTGCGGGTTTTTTCCATACTTTGCAGTTCTCCAAATCTCGGAAGCCTGCAATTTAATACAGTTCTGACTCTGTCTACCTGGAGTTAGCATTAGATCCCAAAAGACTTCCCCTACTTGGGATGCCGGTTGGAAGCCGGGCTCTGGTACTTCTGACCTATAGTCTGTAAATGGCTGGGATGAGAGATCCACAGTCCCCTCCTCCGGTTCGATATTTTCCTAGAATGGGTTACAGAACTCAGGGAAACACTTTATTACATGTACTGGCTTGTTACAGAGGATGCAACTCATGAACAAGTGCTTCTGACCTATAGTCTGTAAATGGCTGGGATGAGAGATCCACAGTCCCCTCCTGTGGTTCAATATTTTCCTAGAATGGGTTACAGAACTCAGGGAAACACTTTATTACATGTACTGGCTTGTTACAGAGGATGCAACTCGTGAACAACAAAATAGAAGAGATGCATAGTATTGGGGGTGGGATACAAAGCTTCCCTGCTGTCTCTGGGTGCGCCACCCTCCCGGCACCTGCACCTGTTCAGCCACCTGGAAGCTATCAAATCTTGTTGGTCAAGAGTTTTTTTGTTGGCCGGGCGCGGTGGCTCACACCTGTAATCCCAGCACTTTGGAAGGCCAAGGTGGGTGGATCAAGAGGTCAGGAAATCGAGACCATCCTGGCTAACATGGTGACACCTCGTCTCTACTAAAAATACAAAAATATTAGCCAGGTGTGGTGGCGGGTACCTGTAGTCCCAGCTACTTGGGAGGCTGAGGCAGGAGAAAGTTGTGAACCTGGGAGACGGAGGTTGCAGTGAGCTGAGATGTGCCACTGTACTCCAGCCTGGGTGACAGAGGGAGACTCCATCTCAAAAACAAAAAACAAACCAAAAAAAAAGTTTTTTTGTCGAGTTTAATTTCCAGTCCCAGAACCCTGCGCTGTCCTCCCCTGCTCTGACTTTCCCGAGGTCCCTGGGTAGGGCTGAAAGTTCCAACCCTCTAATCACTTGGTCTTAATGATGACTGGCCCCACCCTGAGACTGTCTAGGGGCCCCACCCCGAGTCACCACATTAGTATAAACTCAGGTGTGATCAAAAGATGCCCATTATGAATAACAAAAGACTCTCCTCTCAGGAAATTCCAAGGCCTTTAGGAACTCTGTGACAGGAACCCAGGACAATGACCAGATCTATTGCATATTATGCCACACCTGCACACTGACTGTTTTCCTAATCCAAAGGGTTGGATGTACCGCCGTGCTAGCTTTTAATTCATCTTTCTAAATAGAGCCGAACTGAATCATGTCTGGGTAGTCGCTGGAGTTTTCTTGCATTGTATGGATGTTTGGAAAGTGTCTGGGAGTCTGTAGCTGAGTTTCTCTGCTAGGCCCTTACACTGGCTGCTTAGTAAAAATTGCAGGGAGTCCTACAGATATTCCTCAAGTGCTTCTGATTAGTACTTCTGATCCCTAGGCAAGAGATGCCTTTGTGAAGTTTTTGCCTTCAGGCTCCATTTATATTTTGGCAGAAAAGATTTCTTTATAAATGACTGTGAGTACGGAGTGGGTTCTGAAACTTCCTCTGTTTATGCAAACATGCCGTGAACCATTATTCAACCTGTGTCCCTTTGGGTGGGGACTTGGACATTGAAGGGTAGGATGGAGGGTGTCAGGGTTAAACACACCCACCCTGGAGTCAGTCAGAGCAGGGTTTGTGTCCAAGCCCGTCACTCTCTAGCTGTGTGACTCCGGCCAGTCAGTTACGATCTTTAGGTCTCAGTCTGTATACTTGTACAATGGGGGTGATAATTCTACCTACTGTTAAGGGCGTCAGAAGCGTCCAACATGTAAGATCTATAAAGCTTTCAGGCAGCGACTGGCACGTGCCGGCCCTTACATTTTGGTGATGGCAATGTTAGTTTTTGCTTGAGAAATTTGCCTTAGGTGTGAGGAAAACTTTGAAGAGAATAGTGATGGCAGAGACAACCAGACATTTTTCTTGCCTGATTTTGGCTGTTCCATGCATATTATCAAGCAGGGATTCGGGGAGAAAAAGAGGTCTTTTCTGGAAAACACCGCCCTTCCCTTTTCTTGGGGAGTTTCCTTGCCCTGCGCCTAGCTCCTCCCATTTTGGGAAAGGCTATGCAGGGAAGCGTAGTTGATAAAATGCTGGCAAGTGTGGAGAAAGCCGCCTATGGCTTAGTGGAGCCGTGAGTAATATGCAAGGAGGAGATACACCTTCAACAGAACTCAGACCATTGCTCTTTTATGGTAACTTCACAACCACATTAAGGCATGCGTTTCAGTCCTAACGGTGGTGTTATATGAGAAAGCCTTCCTGTCACTGGAAACCAAAAATGTTCCCAAGAGACAGATGACTGAAGCTGACTCGCTGGAGGTTAGCTCAGAGACAGGGATGCGTGTGTGTACACGCGGGTATGTACCTGTACACGCATGCATGTGCGTGTGTGCGCGTGTATGTCTCCCATGCCACAGGGTGAGTCCTAGAGACTCCCTTAGCAAACCAAAGGAATGTTTACTAATTATTCCTGGGAGAGAAAGATGAGTTACAGGAATTCATGAATAACTGAGAAACACGTCTATAGGAAGCAAGCTTTAATAATGATTTTAATATAGCATATCTTCCTGGAATTAGTTTGTAATTTGATGTTTCATTTTTTAGGTAGTCATCATTTTACAGGTGATTGATTTTCTCAGGCAGTGATTTAAACGTTTGATTTTAAAAAGCTCACTCTTTGTATATGCTGTTAGTGCTGTCCCCGTTTTAACACCTTTTGGTGGTGTTTTCCCTCTTTTTTATGTTTGTAGTTTTGAAGTTTGATAAATGTTGGCAGAGTAAGTATGGACAGCAAATTACTTTATATAATCAGTCCTCCATATCCATGAGATCTGCACCTATAGGTTTAACCAATCAAGGATAAAAAAAAATTAGGAAAAAAAAATGGATGGTTGCATCTTTCTGGACATGTGCAGACTTTTTTCTTGCCATTATTTCCCAAATAAAACAGCATAACAACTATTTACGTAGGATTTCCACTGTATTAGGTACTATAAGTAACCTAAAGATGATTTAAAGTGTACGGGGGTGGAGTAGATATGTTTTATATCAGGAACCTGAGCATCTGTGGATTTTGATATCTGCACGGATCTGGGGAACATTCCTGCATGGATACTGAGGACAACTGTATTTTGTATACAATAAAATACAAAATTGTATATGGGATTGTATATCCAAACCTAGTATCTGAAACAACGTTTTTTTTGAATCCTCATTTATTAGTCAAACAGGAAATTAACTGACATTACTGGATTATACTTAAATGTGTTTTACAGAGGCAACTGTCTTCTTTATTGTGCAGGAGAAATTACTATGGATCCATTTTCATAATGTTTTTGTAATGACAGGAGGTCTTATTTAGATCAAAATTTGTGTTTGGAAATGCATTTGGACATCCTCACAGATAGTTGTGAAGGGTAAAGAATTTCTTTTGGCAAAAGATTAAATGTCATATTAATACTTCTCAAAATAAAAAAGCAAAAACCCGTGTGTTCTCAAGGGTTGCAATGGGGCGATGTGTCCCCTAAAAAGTTAAAAATTGGATCGAGGCCAAACAAACAAACAAATACCTCACTCTCTTATATGTAAAGCACAGATGTGTATAGTACATAACCAAATATGAAATGTATCTGCCATACTGTACTTTAATGAGAGAGTCATTAGGGAAAAATAGTTGAACAAAGCTCTTGGGTGGGGCAATAACTAAAGCCAGGTTGAGAAACCCCGCATTGTAAGCCCTTAACTGTTAACACTTACAGCAGCAGTTGGAACTAGAATTAATATTCCTCCTCTAGAAAAGGCATTTGAATGTTAAATGTTAAAGGTTGGTGTTGGCTTATGTGGTGAATAGTGATTTTTATTTGTTCTTTGCTCTCTTAGAGACTTGTGGTTAGTCATGAGAACAGTGCTTCAGAAATCAATTGAAAAGGTTATGAGCCAGTAATAACATTTGGCCTTGCCAATTAAATAGCCAAGGGAATCTTGAACATTCACTTCAGTCTTTTATCCTGGAGAGCATGACCACTCTACAGGAGGCAGAAAACACATGGCGTGTGGATGTGGGTGTGGGTTGGGGGACTCAAGAAACTAAGAAACTTAGATTAGGTTTTTTTTTTTTTTTTTTTTTGCTTTTGTTGACAGCCTAGCCTCCCACCTACAAATGTAGATTTTTTTAGAAGTCTAATTTAAGTTAGCATATATTACATAACTTATATGTTGTGATCAATACTTGAAATTTTAAGATATCTGGCCAGTCAAGGGCTTATATGATCCTGAAGCTCATCTGGAAAATTAACCTTCTCTCATCCGTGATTCGATGTGGGATAGAATTGATGCTGCAGGAGGATGCAGAGTTTAGAGCTAATTATTTTGGCACATACAAGTTATTAGACTACAGGTCACTTATGAAATACATTTCACTATCAATATTTTTCAAAGCATATTTATCAAAATGAGTTAACTGCAATAGAGCTGCGGCATATAAATGGTCCTTCAGTTTGTTGGAGTTGGCGTGGGGTGGGGGGGTAGTGTCTACTTTATATTGCTATTGATGTGTAGGAAGCAATGCCTTATAGTAGATCTGCTCTCCTTGCCGTAGATTCTCTGTCACTCTTACTAAGTTCCTGCTGGGTGAAAGTTATTGACAGATGGTGCCATGTTATGCAGTTATGTTGGGGGAGACCCTCCCTTCTCTAGGCCCCCAGGACCTCATCTATGAATTGAAAGAATGGAATTAGATGTGTTTTCAACAGCTTTTCTGATGTGATTACTCATCTTATTCGTTCTATTTTAATTCTTTAATTTTATTTTTATTCCTTAGCGAATGCTGATGTCTTAAAGGCGATGGTAGCGGATAACAGCCTGTATGATCCTGAAAGGTGAGTGCTCCTCCCCTCCTCCTTAGTGCAACATCTTTTCAGTTATTTGCTCAGATATGGCGCCTTCTGAAATGCTCTTCTGCTAGAGCAGGTTTCCCAACTTTGGCACTATAGTTATTTTGAGCCAGCTAGTTCTTTGCTGTGCAGAACCGTCCCGTGTATTGTAGGATGTTTGACAGCATCCCTGGCCTCCACTCACAAGATGCCAGAGCACCCCCTGCCCCCACCCTCCCAAGGTGTGACAACCCATAATATCTCCACATATTGTCAATTTCCTGTAGCGGAGATGATCACTCCTGGTTGAGAACTGTTGTGTTAGAGAATAGTGATGGGAAGAAGTAAGGCATAGAGGTTAAGGGCAAAAACATAGCCTTGGAATTGGGAGATGTGATTGAGTCCTGCCTGCACCACAATATTAACTGTCTATTCTTGAGGAAGTTAACTGACCACCCTGAGTTTAAGTTCCATCGTCTATAAAATGGAGATCACCACAGTACCAGCTTTATAGGGTTGTTATAAGGAATATAGCATACCTTAAGCATTGAAAGACCTCCGTGAACAATGATGATTAAATGAACAAGCTGGTTTGGAGCTACCTGCTATGTTCTGTTTTTTGTATTACTGTTTTAGGTTATGGTTGTTGAGCAGCATATTCCTTCATAATTAATTACAGAGAACTGTATTTCCATATAAGTATTATTTCTTCAACAAGGAGCATTTATTGGATGCCTGCTGTGTGCTGGGTGCTGCTCTGGAGCTGGACATCCACAGACCCTTGCCATGGAGGAACACAGTCAGTAGGGAGTGGAGACGTGTGTGTGAGGCCTCGTGGTGGAGATCCTGCAAGTGCTGTAGGACTGGTGGAGACTGAAGGCTCTAGGGGACCCTGGGGGGCCACTGGGAGTTCAGGAAGGTTCATGGAAGGGGTGCCATCTGAACCAGGTGTGCAGGAGGTGGAGACGAGAGTCAGGGTTGGCTGTAGGAATAAGAAGGGCCAGAAGAAAAGTCACCACATCATGATAGCCTGGGACTCAGCCTATGAAGGGTTCGGTCCAGGGTGGCCAGGCCAAGTGACATGGCAAAGGGGTTGGATCTTTCTTCGCTTCCTATGTGGGTTGTGCACTCAGCACCCCTTAGATGTTTAAGAGGTGTTTGTCAAACTGGCTACGTAGGATGTGTGTTTTGGAAAGGTAACTCAGAATGCAAGGAGTTGAGTTTAGGAGAGACGTAGAGTCATAGAGACAGAAGAGCTCTGATTGCTCCCACATTCCAGTCCTGGCCACAGACAATTGGTGTTCTGACCATCTTAGCTCATGGTGTCTTTGTCTTAATCATCTCTGGGCATCCTGTAGTGCCCATCAGTGGGTTTTGTACACAGCTGGTACTTGAGAAATGCTTGTTGAGTGAATGTTGTTAAACTGTTGCATTCAGCTTTCTGATATGTGGTGCTAAGTTGACATTATTTTCCAGGAAGGTACGGCTGTGTGTTTTTATTTTAACAATTAGGAAGGCATCCCTAAAGAGCACCAGAAGACTTTTGTCTGTTAGTCATGTTTGAGGCGGTCTCCTCAACTGTAGGCTCTACTTCTTTTTTTCAAGTGTGCAGGTGGCCAGTTTGCATCAACGAAAAGCCTGGTTTCTGCCGTCACAGCCTCCTGTGCGTCTCTGGGGCTCTTGCCACGGTCCAGGTGTCAGGCTGTGGGTGTCATGCCATCCCCACTCCTCCCACCTGTGCCGGAGGGCTGATTCCTGCTCAGTTCAGCTCTGCTAGGTTCGAACTCCTCCTTTTCTGCCGGGCCAGAGCCTTCACACATGCCTTTTGAAAACAGCTCGTATCTGGCCTATATATTTCTGCTTTTTATATTTCAGATGGTCTAGCCAAATTTATTCCAGATTATCAAAGTGGTCTCTGCTGTTTCTGAAGCACTATAGTGTATAGCAAGGTGATTAATTGCATGGTTTCTGGAATTCAGCGTTCTAGGTTTGAATCTCAGATCCAGCACTTATTTGCAAGTGTGATCTTGTTGCAAGTGTGAGGCCAGTTACTTCACTTCTCCCTGCCTCAATATCCTCATTGTTAAAATGAAGAAATTAATAATACTTACATCATAAGATTTTATAAGGATTAATTCCATTAATATATACATATAAAATGCTTAGAATACTGTTAGCTATTACATTATGACTGTTATCAACACCATCAACATCTGTTTTGGACATCACTTTTGATATCTTTGCCTAAAGGCTTTCCTTCTTTGATATAATGGAGATTTGATGAAATCTTTTCTCTAAGTTATCTGATAATTTGATGGAATTGAGTTCTTCCCTTTTCCAGGGCATAGATACTTAGGGAATCTCTTTGTGTAGAGTGATGGGCAGACACTCTGGTATGTGAGAAATTAGGATAATTGCATGAGAAAAAAGATCAGTGTTTTAGAAAGAAACCTAATACTTTAAAGCCAGTGTATCACTGTTAGAAGCAGTGGTTTATTCCCAGCTAATAAATTCCATTCTAGAAGTGATAAATCACATTCTTTTTTTCTTCTAAAGACAGGGTCACACTCTGTCATCGAGGCTGGAGTTCAGGGGTACAATCATAGCTACTGCAACCTTGAGCTCCTGGGCTCAAGCGGTCCTCCCGCCACAGCCTCCCGAGTAGCTGGGACTATAGGCATGTGTCATCATGCCTGGCTAATTTTTTTATTTTATTTCAGAGACAGGCTCTCTCCATGTTGCTCAGGCTGGCCTCAAGCAATCCTCCCACCGTGGCCTCCCAGAATGCTGGGATTATAGGCATGAGCTGTTACGCCTGGCCATGAATCATATTATTATTGCTTAAGATAAGCTGTCATCGCACGGTCATGAGAGCTGAGTACCTGCTGTCTGAGGCCCGTTCACAAAGTCCATTTGTACAATTGGAAGATGCTTTGTTTTTTCTTTCAACTTAAACTGCTTCTGTTATCACAGGGAGAGAGATGGCCTTCACTGGTATTTCCTTTAAGTAACCAGTTGCACTTTTTATTTTCCTCCCCACCTTAGCCCCGTGACCCCCAGCACACCAGGGAGCCCACCCGTGAGTCCTGGGCCTTTGTCACCAGGGGGGACCCCGGGAAAGCACGTCTGTGGCCATCATCTGCACACGGTGGGCGGTGTTGTCGAGAGGGACGTGTGTCATCGGTGTAGGCACAAGCGGTGGCACTTTATAAAGCCCACCAACAAGTCCAGAGAGAGCAGACCACGGCGCCAAGGCGAGGTCACGGTCCTTTCTGTTGGCAGGTAAGATCTCTTCGGATGCTTTTGGTTTATGTGTGACATGTGTGCTCTGGTGTGTGGACTTGTGCTTACCTGTCAGATGTAGAATATGTTCTCCGTGCCTGGCTCAGGTTATATCCCTGGGCTTTTTAGATGTTTTCTGGTGTGAGTCCTAGATTTTTCCAACAACAGAAGAATCCTAAAAGGCGGCTGTTGCTAGATCAGATGGGAAATGTATTAAGATAAATACCTACCTGCTCTAACAGATAAAGCCCAGATTTTCAACTGTATACAGAATAGACATTTATATATCACTTATGGAATCCAGGGCAGGTAGTGAGATATCAACGGGTGGCTCTTCAAGTACTTGTCCAGGGTTCCAGGCCCCCTTCGTTTGTGGCTCTGCCGGGTTTGCCAGCCAGAGGAGCAGGTCCGTGGAAGGTTGTTCACGAGGGATTTTGAAAGAGCTACTAGGCCTGAGAGTGGCTCACATCATTTTGACTCACACTTCACTGGCTGGAACTCGATCACCCAGCCAAGCTAACGTTCAGGGAACTGAGAAATATCATCGGGCCATGTGCAAGGGAGGGGAGAAGCCGTGGATCTGGTCCACAGCCCTCCAGTCTCTGTCTTGTAAGTTCCATGTGAATTCCTTTGACTGCTTGCTTTTAGTGGGCGGTGCTTTCCACTGTGTCTTGGCTCTCCGGGTCCTAGTGCCTTTCACTTGTGACCCATATGTGAGGTGGAGATCCTGCAGTTCAAGTGATGAATCCATCAGCCCTTACCTGAAGCATCTTTGCAGTGGGATGCTTTTGCAGTTCTGCTGTTGGATGCTGAGTCCCATGCAGGAACTGCATTGCCGATGTTGCATTTGGAAAGACAGTGGGGAGTACTGGTAAGGAACACACATGCTGGAGTGAGGCTGGGTGAGCGCTGAGCAAGAGTCGACAGTGCTATTACTTACATGATCCTTCTGTGTCTACTGACAACCCCTTGGGAAGAGTGGCCTGAACTCGTTGCTTCTACTCTCCTTCGAGTCCTGGCACCACTACTTGCAAACTGTTACGTTGCTCTGTGCCTCAGTTTCCCCCTCTGTAAAGTGAGAAGGACAGTCACACTCACCTTATAGAGTTGCTGTGTAGACTAAATGAGGTGATGCACATAAAGGTCTTAAACCGGCTTTGGGTACTTACACACTCAAGAAATGTTGGCCGGTTATTATTTTTATTTTGATTCAGTTGAGTTTCATCATTGTGTTGCACAAGCATCACGGAGAAGATTGCCGGGCTGTTTGCCACTTACAGCAAAACAGCACAACTCATGACCACACTATTTTATTAACAAGCAGAGTCATGGGAATTTATGAATGCAAAGCAGCGAGAACCTGTAGCTTGTTTGGACAAAGCATGTTTTGTTGGTCTTAAAAAAAAATCTGCTGAAATTTTCAACTCAGATTCAACACGGCTTTTTCTTTTTTTTTCTTTTTTTTTTTTTTTGAGATGGAGTCTTACTCTGTCACCCAAGCTGGAGTGCAGTGGTGTGAACTCAGGTCATTGCAACCTCCGCCTCCCGGGCTCAAACGATTGTCGTGCCTCAGCCTCCCGAATAGGTGGGACTGCAGGTGCCCGCCACCATGACTGGCTAATTTTTGTATTTTTAGGAGAGATGGGGTTTCACCAATTTGGCCAGGCTGGTCTCGAACTCCTGACCTCAAGTGATCCATCCATCTTGACCTCCCAAAGTGTTGGGATTACAGGTGTGAGCCACCGGGTCTGGCCAAATGTGGCTTTTTAAAATGCCCCAAATCCAACTCTCTTTCTTGGATATTGGATGTTGGATACTTAATGATTCCAGGCTGTTTTTCAGCATGTATTACTTAAGAGAGTCTTAGAGTTTGACAGAATAGATTTGTGTTTACAATTTCCCTGTTCGTTCTTTCACTTCTTCAGAGCCTTCTCCTCAGGATTGGTGATCTTATTCTGGACACAGAAGGAGGATTTATTTCAGATAGTTTTTAAGGGAAAAATTAAGACCAGAACTAGAAAGAAACTGTTATGAAAAGCTCTAGGATTTGGTGATGATATACTAGAAAAAACAGTTAAACTGAATACATTTATTTAACTCTTAATTCTTGATGAAAATCTCTTCCTTAACTTCCTTTAGTCTTTCCTTAATCTGTAATGAAAATTAACCCATTGTGTTTTTTTTAAAGACAAACTCTCAAACCCTAACGCTGATAAAATGTGTTGCTAGGGCCCTTCTGATTTTCTGCATATGTGTGAGAGAGAGTGTGTGTGTGTGTGTGTGTGTGTGTGTGTGTGTGTGTGTGTTGAGATAGGACTGCCTGACAGTTGCATATTTTCAGAAGTTCGTCATCTTCTGGTAAACATTCTGGTTATGTCAGTCTAATTTGTAAACCAGTTGAGCATTTAACCAGGTTTCTGTGGTTAAAAAAAACTGGCATAGGCCAGGTGTGGTGGCTCACGCCTGTAATTCCAGAACTTTGGGAGGCCGAGGTAGGTGGATCACCTGAGGTCAGGAGTTTGAGACTGGCCTGGCCAACAAGGTGAAACCCCATCTCTTCTAAAAATACAAAATTAGCCAGTCATGGTGGCATAAGCCTGTAATCCCAGCTACTTGAGAGGCAAGGCAAGAGAATCGCTTAAACTCGGGAGTTGGAGGTTGTAGTGAGCCGAGATTGCACCACTGCACTCCAGTCTGGGCAACAAGAGGGAAACTCCTTCTCAAAAACAAACAAAACCTGATCATTGTTAGAAACCACAACTCTGAGGCTGTTTAATATTTGAGTCCCTGAGGTTTTTTTTTTTTCTTATGGAGACAGGGCCTCGCTCTGTTTCCCAGGCTGGAGTGCAGTGATGTGATCTCTGCTCACTGCAGCCCCCTCCTCCTGGGCTCAGATGATTCTCCTGCTTCAGCCTCCCGAGTAGCTGGGACTACAGGTGCACACTACTATGCCCGGCTAATTTTTGTAACTTTCGTAGAGACAGAGTTTTGCTATACACCCTGGCTGGTCTCAAACTCCTGGGCTCAAGCAATCCACCCACCTCAGCCTTCCAAAGTGCTGCTGGGATTACAGGCATAAGCCACTGTGCCTGGCCAATACCTGAGTTTTTAAATGCCTTTCGCATGCTCTGTGAAATATCCGGCTTAGTCTGTGATGTGGTTGAGTAGAGATCAGCTGGAAGGTTGGGCAGGGGCCAGGGGAATGTGCCGGAGAGGAATGCATGCTCCTCCTCTTGAATATGTTGTTTTTCATTTGTGTCCTAACTTTTGGCTGAGTTCATTTGAGATCCTCTGGGTGGATGATTTTTGCTTTCTTCACAATTCTTGTTTATTAGAAAAGCAAACCCCATCACATCTCCCCGTTCCCCCCTCAGGTTTAGAGTTACAAAAGTGGAGCACAAGTCAAACCAGAAGGAACGGAGAAGCCTGATGTCTGTTAGTGGGGCTGAAACCGTCAATGGGGAGGTGCCGGCAACACCTGTGAAGAGAGAACGCAGTGGCACAGAGTAGCAGGTGAGCTGTGGTTTTGGTGACATTGGGGGCAGGGTGGCGCAGGGTGAGGAGAAAGTACTGGGAGCTTCCCGGGTGCTATGGCAGCATAGGGATGGCATTTGGCAGGGAAATGGGAGAGCTTTCCTGGACCCAGGAAGGCCGAGGGGGACTGAACATGATTACTTATCTGCCCAGAGCTTCTTGTGAAGAAGTCACAAACGTGGTGCCTCCAGGGGCTTGGCCTGTGTGGTAATGAGGACAGAGGATTACTTGTGAGGCAATGTGGCATGGTGGGGATTGTGGCAAACTAGAACTCACATCACCCACCATATAGGGCTTGCGTTACCACAAGGCAGAAAGCGCCTAGTGTTGCTGCATCTTCTTATGTAAAAAAAGACAAAATTCAGACTTTTAAAATGTAAAATCACTGATTTTTGATTTTGGCAGCTTACTTTTTTTTTTTTTTTTTTTTTTTTTAAAAACAACCATGCAGGCCAAATGATGTGTAATCTTGTCACCATTTCCAGGTAAACTGTGACTTGAAAAAGTCTGGAGCAAACAAACCAATCCTTTTTCCTTTTATTCTGTTGGAAACCAGTTTTCTTTGTGTCACAGTTCTGAAACCTCAATACGAATATTTCTCTTCCCACCAAATATTTTGAGGCAATTGAAAAGCCACAGTGATTTATTTCTTGATTTGGCAATTTTAATTTTGCA